GTGATGCCAAACGAAAACTTAGATTTTTTTATTTTTGCTATTTTCAAACTTTGTATGTGATTTTTTTTTTTTATAATTAAATTTGTTGGTTGTAATAGGTTAAGAAAATTTTTTTGTCTTTTTTTAATAATATTCAGTTCAACTTTAAAAATTCTATTTTTCTTCATAACAGTTTTTACTGTTTAATATTGCAGATTGCTGCAGTCGCTTTAATTGAGGTTTCATGTTTTTTTTTTTTTTTTTTTTAATTTAATTAATACTTCTTGCTTCTCTGTTTTTTTGGAATTTATTTTTTTTGTATTTTTTAAATTTTCAAGAGATTTTAAAAAAAGTTTACATATTTCTTAGTCTATTTGGGGATAGGTTTCTAATATTTTATAAAGATTACTATAAAATTGGTATATTCTTGTGACAAAAAATGAATCATTACTTTTCTTCAAGTTATTATAAATTTACATCTCTTGTTGTTAAAAAATAATTTTTTATCACATTAAAATTTGTTGAAAAAATAATAATTAATTAAGTAATGAGAAAATAATGTCATTGATTGGAAAATTATATTGTAAAAGAAAGTTATAAAAATTATTTGAAAAAAATCACTTGTAAGAATTTTTTTTATTGTAGGTAATGAATAAATTTTTTTTCCATAATTTTATTCAGATTATTGCATATATTTGAATATTTATTTGATTTATATTTATGTTTTTGGAAAAAAAAATTATGAATTAATTAATTTAAATGATGACGATATGATATATAATTCAACGCTGAGCAGAATTTATCTTACTTTTTTGTTCGGAAGCGTTCAGATTTCTTTGACTTTTCTAAAACCATCCAATTATACTTTTCTATTTGTTTTAGGTAGCCTCAAATTTAAAACGTGACAAATTCATTTACAAATTTTTTAATCTAAACCCAAAAATTAATGGTTGAGAAAAAGCCTTTTCTATTTTCCTTAAGTTTCATTTTCAACTTCTTAATATTGTGCCACATCACAAAATTAAGAACATTAACCCATTATTCAATATCTCATCATATTTATCTTTCAAAAAAAAATATGAGTCATCTTACCATTATTAAGTTTATTATAGGTTGTTTTATTAAAATTTAAATTCAATCGGGCATAGCTGAGTTGGTGCGAGTCGTGGTTGGGAACTCAACTCATGTTCGATTCTCTCTTCATGCTGCGCGACTTCTCAATAGGGAGAAAATAACTGTGTGCCTCCCTTGAGGTTAGTTGCTGGTATTAACAGCATGAGGAATTAGTTACGTCGTCAACATGCCTAACTTCTGGGGGGGTAATGTGTAGATACCTGTTCAAAAAAATAAAAATAATATTGAAAATTATCCTTAATTTTA